GCCGCCACGTTCCGCTCGACGGCTTTCGGTTACGGGACCACGCCCACACACGGGCATCGGCTCGTTGGCCACGCCCATGGGCGGCCTTCGGTTCTTTGGCCGCGCCCAGTCGCCGCTTTCGGCACTTTGACCACGCCCTCTGGCGGTCTTCGGTCGTATGGCCACGCCTACACACGGCGTTCGGCTCGGAGGCCACGCCCTCTACCGGCCCTCGGCCAATAGGCCACGTTTGTTACCAAAGCCGACCCCACTCCGTACGTTCGACTCCACGAGTCCACAACCAATCACAATTCCCGAATCGCTTGCCACGCCCACACAGGGTCATACGGCACCCTTGGTCACGCCCACTTACGAACGTTTTTATCAGGGCCACGCCCACGGACTCCAGACCGCGCCTTCTTCCTGCCGCCTCACGCTTCGGTAATCCCCGGCGGCGCTCGGTTATTTCCGTCAATCCCCCGGCGGTGAAGAAGAAGTCATGGAAGGGGAGGGAGGCCATCTTGGAAAATGGTCAAGTGGGCAGCAGTTGAGTCAAGCCTTGTGGAAGTGACACTCAAAAGAGGCACTGACGCTCCATAGCCTGTTCCAAATACCTCAATCCAACCGAAGCCCACCCAAAAATCAAAACAAAAAAGGGGAAGTAGAGCACCGGGTTGGCACAGGTGCGGCCAACCTTTCATGGAACAACTGAATCATAAGGCCTGTCCGCCCATCAAGTGCGTACCATTACCATATACACACCAGGCCCACTTCCCCGCACCAATGCCCCATCGCCTTGAAGGCCGCAGCAATTCATCTACTCATCCAAGTGGATTGCTTCAAGGTAGTGAGGTCAGGTCTCATGCCTTGATCGCCCTCCCTTGGGCAGTGCATGATAGAACGTTTTGCCTCTTCGCTCTCCACCCACCCCCCAATTCCTACACACCCACTCTGGGCACCCTCCAGAGGCCAAAGACGACCTTTTCTCAAATCCCCGCTAGCCCTCTTGACTTTCAGATGCAAAATTATGTCCACCCGCCAAGAGACCATAAGATATTAGGCCATTTGGCCCAGCGAGCCCACTCTTCCCTTTGCCCTGGGTTTTGACACGCTTTCCCGAGATGACAGCTAAGGTCGTCTCTGCCAACTCCAGCTTGGGTTGGGGTTGGAATGGTGTGTTGCGGGGAGGGGGCCATTGACCTTTTGGGTGCCACCCACCCTCCCTCCCCAAGTCTTGGCCCACCTTGTACCTTAAACGTCCAGGTTTAGGGCCAAACGTCATTAAAAGGAGCAACTGTTCGACCAGCCCAGCCCCAGTCTGCAAGTCCCCACTTCAGGACAGGGGCTGAGGAGGAAAAAGAAAACTGACCACGAGCTAGGGAGCCTCAGCATCTGGCTTCTCCTTCCATAGAAGTTACTTAGGCAGCAAACCGTGAGGTGGCACAGTGGCTCAGTAGTTAGCACTGCAGCCTCACAGTGCCAGAGACCCGGGTTTGATTCCACCCTTGGGCGACTGTCTGTGTGGAGTTTGCACATTCTCCCTGTGTCTGTGTGGGTTTCCTCCAGGGGCTCCGGTTTCCTCCCACAGGCCAAAGATGTGCAGGTTAGGGTGGATTGGCCGTGCTAAATTGCCCGTGGTGTTCAGGGATGTGTGGGTTATAGGGGGATGAGGATGGGTCTGAGTGGGATGCTCCAAGGGTCGATGTGGACTTGTTGGGCCAAAGGGCCTGTTTCCACGCTGTAGGGATTCTATGATTCAAACAGCATGAAAATCAGACTCCATGTCCTAAACAAACCCAATAAAATCTTCACAAGTAATTAAGAAGCAATGTGTCATGTTTCTCAATGAATGTGATTTGCAGTAGTGCCTGGTGTAATACAAGATGTCATAATTCCACTTCCTGTCACTTGATAATGGAGGTGTGTGTGTGTGTGCGCGTGCATGCGTGCACATGTAGTTCAATGTACCTGTGTCTTTGTTTGTGTTCAATATTTGTTTGTGAGTGTGTGTGTATATGTACAATATTCCCATTTGTGTGAATCTCTATATTCATATCTGCCTATCTGTCTGAAGTTTTTGAGAAGATTTGTAGCTCAGGTTGTGGATGAGGTTGTAGACATGATCGCCGAGCCAGTGGGTTCACACGGACAATGAGGGGCACAAGTTTGACTGGGATAACACATTGATAATCGCACAAGCCAAACAGAGGTATGCCAGGGAATTCCAAGAGGCCTGATATTTTAACCGGAACTCCATCAACGAACATGTTGAATTAGACCCTGTGTACAAACCACTGAGAAACAAAACCGGAACTAATGCCAACCACCCCAGCAAACCGAGGCGTATAAATAACAAGCAGGACAGAACACCAACACTTCACTGGAGGCGCATTGACGATGTTACCTAGCAGGGTGACGAAACATTTGCAACCAAACCCACCGGCTTGGCAAGCATGACTACAATGTCATGCCTATCTATCTATTTACCTATCGATCTAGTACGTGTCTGTCTGTCTGTCTATCTATTTATCTATCTATCCACCTATCTACCTATCTATCT